AACATCTCTGAACAGCTTGATTAGAAAATATAAGAGGTTTGAGCATTATTAAAAATGGAATGTTTGCCCTTATTTCAAGGGAATTGAAATTTCAGAGTAGGGAAGTCTTATTCCAACTGCACAAGGTGCTAGTGAGATCACATCTCGAGTACTAGGATCAAAACTGCTCATGTCATTTAAGAAAAGATACCATTTCATTGAAGGCAGTTCACAGACGGCTCAATAGGATGATCTCGGTATGAAGGGATTATCTTATCAGCAAAAGGTTAAACAGGTTAGGACTCTACTCTAAGGAATTCGAAAGAGTGAGAGGTGATCTCGTGGACACTGATAGGACCTTAAGGGGCATGACAGAGTAAGTGCTGAGAGGATGTTTCCCATCATGGAGGAGTCTAGCACCAGAAGGCATAGTCCTAGAATTAAGGGGCACCTGAAGTCTGAGATGAGGAGGAATTTCTTCTCTCAGAGGGTTGAGGGTCTTCAGAACTCCTTACCAAAGATAGCTGTGGAGGCAGAGTCCTCGTATATATTTAAGGCTGAGAAACAATATATTCTTGATCAGTCGAAGAATGAATGGTTAAGGAGAAGGGGCAAGAAACCGGATGTGAAGAATTCTGGATCAGCTATGATCCTCAGAGTTGTATGAGCTATAATCCTATTGAATGGTGGAGAAGGATCGAAGGGACAAATGGCCTACACCTGCTCCTATTTCTTATGGTCTTATTTCCACATCTCAAAGAATTGCATTCTCTCACCATTTACGTAAAATGCTTCTATTTATTCTTCCTGCCAAAATGGATCATAATATTTTCCCCACATTATACTCCATTTATAATCTTTGCTTTTTCACTTAATTCATCTATATAGCTTGGTAGCCCCACATGCAGATTACAAGCTCATGGTGTGGGGGTAACATACAAGTGTAGATGGAAGATTAGATGGCTGTCAGAAATCAGCATGCATAATTGGGTCTTTTTCTAACTGGCAGAATGTGACAAATGAGATCCTGCAGAGGTTTGTGACAAGGCCTCAGCTTTTTATAATTTATATGGGGGATGTGAAGGCATAGTATTTACTGATAACACAAAGATAGGTAGTAAAATATATTTTGATGAGGGCATAGAGTTGGCAGATCGATTATAGATAGGTTGAGTGACTGAGCAGATGTCTGGTAGCTGAAGTATTATGTGGGGAAATGTGATGTTCATTTTGGCAGAAATAATTAAGCAAAGTAATGTTGCTATGGTCCCAGAGGACTGCTCTCACTTTAATGAGAGACAAGTAGTGGTAAATTTAATCTGAGGGTCACCATGCCTTAGTTGAGGGTTGAGGTCTAGAAGTCAGGGCTTTCATGGTAACCTCAGACAGTGCTGTTGGCATCACTGTGCATAACAATCCTGCCAACTGAGCTAAACTATCCCCTTAAGCAAAGTATTACTTAAGTACAACACAACTGAAGAATTCCAAGGTGCGGAGGGATCAAGGTGTTTGCGTGCACAAATCACAAAAAGTTAGCAGATGCAGCAAGGGATTAAGGAGGGTATTGGAATGTTATCCTTAATTACACATGGCATTGAACTCTCATTGGTGAGAGCAATTCTTGAATACTGTGCGCAGTTTTGTCTCTTTATTTAAGGAAGGATGTAAATGTGCTGGAGGTGGTTCAGCGTGGGATTACTAGACTGATACCTGGAATTAATCTTTTTTTATTCATTAACAGGATGAGGACATTGCTGGCTAGGCAGCATTTATTGCCCATCCCTAGGGCAGTTCAGAGTCAACCACACTGCCATCCTTACATGTGACTCCAGACCCACACCAGTTTCCTTCCCTAGAGGACATTAGTAAACCAGATGTTTTTTCCGACAATTGACAATGGATTCATGGTCATCATTAGATTCTTAATTCCAGATATTTTTACTGACCTCAAATTTCACCACCTGCTGTGGTGGGATTCGAACTCGGGTCCCCAGAAAATTATCTGGGACTCTGGATTAGTAGTCCAGCTATAATACCACTAGGCCATCACCTCCCCCGTACTAATGGGGTAATTAATGGGTTGTCATAACAGTCAGAGAGTCATAGACATACAGCACAGAAACAGGCCCTTTGGTCCAACTCATCCATGTGGACCAAATTTCCCAAACTAAAGTAGTCCCACTTGCCTGCGTTTGGCCCATTTCCCTCTAAACTTTTCCTATTCATATAACTACTCAAACGTCTTTTAAATGTTGTAACCGTACCTGCATCTACTACTTCCTCTGGCAGTTCATTCCATATACGAACCAACCCATGTATGAAAACGTTGCCCCTCAGGTCCTTTTTAAATCTTTCTCCACTCACCTTTAAACATGCACCATAGTTTTGACCTCCCCCACCTTAGGGAAAAGACCTTTGCTATTCATCTTATCTACGCCTCTTGCCATTTTATAAACCTCTAGAAGTTCACCCCTCAACCTCCTACGCTCCAGTAAAAGAAGTCTCAGTCAATCCAGCCTATCCTTATAACTCAAACTCTCCTGTTCCAGCAACATCTTGGTAAATATTTTCTGAACCCTCCACAATTTAATAATTCTCACTTACCAAAACGAGGTTGCAGTATTATGTAAATGCACAAGCTATGTTAAATGTCCTCCCTCTCTCCTACTTATTAAAATATGCAATGAAAATACTTTTAAAATTTACCTTTTGCTGTTAAAGGTGAGACTCCATTTTCCTTTTGTGTCACCACACACCATTAACAATTAGGAACAGTGCAGTATGGCCTGTTCTCAGGTCTGTAGGACTATTCACCAAACAACTGGGATTTATGTGAAGATTAAATGAACATAGGAAACAGGAGAAGAAGTAGGCCATTTGGCCATAAAACCTGCTTTACCAATCATGGCTGATCTTCTGCCATTAAGCTATATTATCTCAATTTTTAAAAAATTCATTCACAGGATGAGGGCGTCTCTGGCTAGGCAGCATTTATTGCCCATCCCTAATTTCCCAGAGGGCAGTTCAGAATCAACCACATTGCTGTGGGTCTGGAGTCATATGTAGGCCAGACCAGCTAAGGATGGCAGTTTCCTTCAGTACAGGACATTAGTGAACCAGATGGGTTTTTTCGACAATCGACAATGGATTCATGGTCATCATTAGATTCTTAATTCCATATATTTACTGAATTCAAATTCCATCATCTACCATGGTGAGATTTGAACCCAGGTCCCCAGAACATTATCTGGGTCTCTGGATTAACAGTCCAGTGGTAATACCGCTCGGCCATCGCCTCCCCTTTGATATCTTCAACATCTAGAAATCTATCGATCTCTATCTTGAACATACTCAATTACTGAATATTCACAGCCCTATGGAATAGAGAATCACAAAGATTCATCACATTCTGAATGAAAAAGATCCTCATCTCTGTTTTGAGTGACCTAACATTTATTCTGAGATTGTGTCCCCTGATTCTAAACACCCCAGTCTGGGAAACTGCCTTCCTGCATCCACCCTACCAAACCTTGTGAGAATGGCATGATGGTGAGTTGAAACAGGAATTTTTGGGGTGGGAGGACAGCATTAGTTGGTATGGCGAGGCCATGAAGAGTGAGTGGTTGTCTTATGAAGAAAGGTTGGACAGACTGGGCTTGTTTCCATTGGGCTTCACAAGAGTGAATACAAGTTAACATACAAGTTCAGGAACCATTTTGACAAGGTGGGGATGTGAAAGTGATCTTTCCATTTATGGGGAGTCCAGAGCAAAGGGCACCATTTTAAAACTAAGGATCCCCCTTTTAGTGATGAGAATTTATTTTTCTCTCAGAGGGTTGTGCAAATTTGGAACTCTGTCATCAAAGGTGGAGGCGAGATCACTGAGTATTTTAAAGGCACAGATAGCTAGATTCTTATGAGGAAAGAGAACAAAGATTATCGGGAGAAGATGTGAATGTAGAATTTGAGATACAAACAGGCCAGGTGTCATCTTACTGAATAAGAGAGCTGACTCAAACTGCCAAGCTGCCTACTCTTGCTCCTGTTTCTTATGGCTGATCCCCTTACTGAGAAACTACAATCCAGTTCAAGAATTTTCAGGCAAGGAATAAAAGTCTCTCCATATCCATAACACGCTCTGCTAGACATGTATAAATATCAACAAGATCATTTCTACTTCATGTAAACACCACACAGTGTATGTCCTTTCCAAGCAATTTTGGTACAGTATCTAGTTCTAGACATCTTGTACCTTGGGGTGGTGTGGAAAATGAGATAATGAGATGGGGGAGTGGCAGGCTGTGAAATGAGATGGGGGAGTGGCGGGGTGCGAAACGAGATGGGAAGTTGAGATGAGGGGTGGGGAGGGATTGAGACTGGGTTGGAGGTGTAATGGTGGATCAGAGTGGGTGTAATGGAGGATCGCGGGGAAAAATGGTTCAATGGGCTCTGGGGGTTGACTGGGAAAGGGGTGTTGGGGATCGGGGGAAAGAGTTTGGAATGTTAGAGATCTGGGAAGGGAAATGATATGGGCATTGTGGGGCATTGGGTGGGTTCAGTCGGGGAGGGTTTAATGTCTGGGGCAATGAGTTTGGAGGTGTTGGGAGTATGGAGAGGAAGAGCTGTTGGGGATCTGGGCAGGGGATATGTTTAAGACCTGGAAGGCATGTTGGTGTCCTGGGAGGTGTGTGTTGGGGATCTGGTGGGGGTGTTGGGGATCTGGTGGTGGTGGGGTGTTGGGGATCTGGTGTGTTGGCTTTGGGTGATCTAGGGGGTGTTGGGGATCTGGTGGT